CTTCTTCTTCTTCTTCTTCTTCTTCTTCTTCTTCTTCTTCTTCTTCTTCTTCTCATCTTCCTCCTCCTCCTCCTCCTCATTCTCCACCTCCTCCTTCTCCACCTCCTCCTCCTCCTCCTCCTTCTTCTTCATTGGTACTACAATACTACGTTGTAACTAATGTATTGTATTTGATTAGGTCTATACAACCCCATCGACACAACTCAGATCCTTTAAGAAGCGGGCTGAACCCGGGCTAAGAGGGGTTCAACGTCCCATGACACAGACGGAGATACACGATTTTTCAAAACTTTTCATTTTGGGAAACAAACTCACGTCTGAGTAATATTACACTAACACACTGACTGAGTGATAAATTAACTGAGAGGTTAACTGGTTAACTGACTGAGTACATAACAGGGAAATTGACTTTCTGATAGACAGACAGCACTCCCCTTAGGCGTAAGCTCTCTCAACCCGCCTGGCACCGTGCAACAGACAAACCGACTATACCTCTCCAGGTCGCTATCCTAGAACAGTTTCTATCTTCTCAGAACCTAGTTTTGAAAAATTTGACTTTTAAAAAAAATTAAGTTCCACAACATGCCAAGCTTTTTCGAATAAGATAAGATAAAATAAGATAATATGTTATTATCCCAGAGGGAAATTTTTATTGGCTGTACAGGACCGTAAAAGCATATGTGACGTTTGCTGACAAAATGAGTTACTTCTCAGATTCAAGCTTTAAGGAAATAGATACATCACACTTATAGGTGAAGTGTTTACAGTTTATAAGTATGAAATAGCATAAGACAGGTTGTAGTTAAAGAATATGGCATCGATAGAAAATCTACAAGTTTGACCCTAATGTCGATTTTTAGCCGATATCTCCATTTGAGGAAAGCGAGAAGTAGCTCATTTCGTCAGCACACCTCACATATGCAGGTATACCTAGAAAATTTAAATTATATAATATTATTACTCTCATTAAAATTCAATATGATAAGAGAAGTAAAGCTGACAAAATGTACTTTCACATTAGATGCATCATTTAATCACATGCAGGAATTTAATTACAAGACCTTTGGAGTTATACAGATACATACTCTAAAGAGCAACATACATCTATGCTCATACTGACAAAAACCTTATGCTAGATTGTAAAAACTTATTTTATATGTTTCTTTCTTTGTTTTTGGGGGTACATATCTGCCTCTGCCTGATCTTATAATTTACGTGGAAAGAGGGTATGATGGGTCGTTTATAATGCTTTTTATCTTTTTTTATATGTGTGGTGTTATACATTTCACCAAGTCTAGTAAAATCATCCAGAAATCTTGCTGGGTTTCTTAATGGTTCTGTCAAACCTTTCAGACCGAAGGGCTAGAACCCAAATGGCCGCTGGATCGGAAAAGTCAAACCTTTCTTTATTTTTCACCTTACAATTCCCTGCTCAACAGCAAATACAAAGTAATAGCACGCTTTCAATCATGGAATGGTATTAAAAAATGCAATTGTTTGAAAGTCTTGATAACGATTCCGAATAATCTTATGATTTCGATAGAGCAGATAGAATAGTTGGTTTCTGACCTCATGATCTTAGTAACTGAAAACGTCATTATCTTAGTAACTGAAAACGTCATGATCTTAGTAACTGAAAACGTCATTATCTTAGTAACTGAAAACGTCATTATCTTAGTAACTGAAAACCGCCAAAATTGTCAGTTGCAATTCTAAGATAACGATTTTCCACCTCGGTCCATCACATCTCTCCCTCTCTCTCTCTCTCTCTATCTCTCTCTCTCTCCCTCTCTCTCTCTCC